AGGTAAAAATGCCCACAATGAAAAAAAAATTATTAATAGAAATGATATTTTTGTTTAAATCTATAAATATTTAAATACTGTAATCAAGAATTGAATCAATAAATAAAAAATGGCCCTCAATTATAAAATTCAAAAAAAAAAAATTAAAAAAAGAATTAAATGCTGTAAAATACCTTGTAACAAAAATTGAATTAATAAATCAACATAAACCATATGCATATTTGAGAACTAAAATAACTTAGTTTTTAGCTCCTATGAGTAGGTCTAGGAGTACCCTGCTGATTGATTAATTAATAGATCTTTTTTGTATGGGCAGCTGTTAGGTCTAAGTATTTTTTTAAAATTATTATTGTTAAATATTATTACTATATTAGCGACCAATTATTTATATTATTATTATTGGCTCTGATGATGGGAAAGCCCTAAAACATTGATTCGGCACCAGTTTTGAACGACGAACTTGCAGGAAATGATATAGACAATTTTCGTGAAATTTGAAATAAAAATTTCCGATAACCTGCCAACTACCACTATGGGACTTTCAAAAGTGTTATTCATGGCTTTTTTTATCTTTGAATATTGTATCATTAAATATGTAATTCCTGCGAAAATGAAATCTAAATGGCAAGTTACCGTATTTGATTTTAGATTCCTTAAAAAAACTAAATTATTTAAGTTTTAAAAAATGCATAATGATTTTTTTATTTTTGTTTAAATCAGTTTTAATACAGAATTTTATTATTGGGGCCATTTTTACCTACCTGTTATTTGGGGCCATTTTTACCGGGGAAATTTTTACAGGGGCCATTTTACCGGGGCCATTTTTTCCTTTGCCATTTTTGCCGGGGCCATTCTTACCGTACACCACCACCGCCGCCGCCGCCACCGCCGCCACTACCACTACCACTACTACTACTACTACTACTACTACTACTACTACTACTACTACTACTAGGCCTACTGTACTAATACTGCACTACTACCAACCCTACACTACTATTCTCACTGATGTAGGACCGTTTTGACCGCGAGCAAGTTTGGCAATTCGATTAATTGACTATTAAGCAATATAATACTGACAAAATAATACAATATATATGTGTATTTGCGTTAAAAGTAATAAAAGGACAGTGTGAACAACTAATATACCTAACACTACTTCTGTAAAAAAAAAAAATCTTTAATTGTTTACCAAACATGCTGTATATATCGTAGGATAAGACCATAGTAGAGTGCTCCACTCTTAAAGACTTGTAGAAAATAGTCAACTCGGCGAAATTCATTCTGAAAAATAGCAAGCAAGATTTTTTTTAAAGCAAAATAATTTATACGCATATATACCAGTATAAATAGTAGATCAAATTCAAGAACACTTAAACCGAGATAACAAGCGACCAATCATCTTGTGGATATTGAGACTAGTGAGAGTATACAAATAATGTTCTGTCATGCCCAACATATTTTTAACCAACGTAAAATCAAATACAAATAAAGTTGATGAACCTGAGGTGACCCTAAATAAGTACTAAATTGAATTGGCAGTTGTAACTAAAACGAGGCTAAATGGAGAAACTAATAGCATTGTAAATATTCCTGGATATTCCTGGAATTTCAGGGTCATTTAAAGTGCTAAGGTCCCTATCTCTAAAAAAATATTATCAAGTAATCTAAATGACACTTTCCAGAATAGTTTTGATGAAGGAATGTTTCAATTTTGGTGACGATCGGAAGTAGGGAATGGATATAACGACCATTGAAAGAATATGCTTACCGTATACCGTAGGCAGATGCAATAGCTGTATGATGAATATTCAAATATGTGCAATTATTGTAATTGTGTACAGCGTTTAATATACAGTAACTTAAATTTTTTTTGGGAACTGATTTTTAATACATCTTTATAGGCCTATTTAAACATGTGACGCGTAAGAACCTTCTTATTAATTTGACTATTTGCATAATATTTCCATTTCAACACCAATAACTGGCATGTATTTTTTGTCAACTATAAGAATAAAACGTTCCAGTGTGTTTAACCAGAAGAAGTAAGGAATGGTCAGGTATACTAATGCAATAAAAGGTGTTTACGTTTGGCCATGTTAGTGTTTAGTGTTAATAAGTGGTGGTTGGAAAGTAATTAAGTGGGTTTTCACATTTTATATAGTGTCAGTATTTGAAAATAAAATATTTCAATACTAGATATTGCTTGGATTCTCTGTTTAAAACGTAACTTGTGCAATGAAAAAAAGGCTGATAGTGAATTTTGGTGAAACTGTTTGGATTACAAAATCCAAAAATACCTGCTCTAAAAAAGAGTCCAAAAAACCCTATTTGAAATAAAAAGTGTTTGGGCGAGTTACTGTGTGTTTTTGAAGAGAAGCGGAGTAAATTTGGAGCACATTTTTAGAGATTTATTTTATAGAAAGGGATTTGCAGTGGGCGGAGATGTGCTCCCTGCCGAATGCTCTTGCTATTATTATATAATTAATTATTGTATATGTTGTAAAAACTCATCAATTTATATGTTAATTGTATGATTGTTTTGTGTGCAGTTTTAGGGTTCTTTTTTTCTTGAAATCAATTCATTGTGTGAGATTTGTATATTAAGTTATATGAGCAGGTTATGGCGGTTTATGCTTAAAGGTATTTTGTAATGAACCCACTTAACGCGTAAATTCCAATAATGTGGACCCATTTTCTTAATAGTTCACCAATTTTATGCAAAAATATGAACAATCTGAACCCATTATCTTAAGATTTTACTTAATGTAGTCTAAATACGAAATGATATTACAAAAACAATACACAAAGATGCAATGTGCAGAAAATAATTCTAACAATATATGGGAAATGATAGAATGTAACATCCGGTGAACAACAATCAATTTGCTAGTAAACAAAATAAAATGAAAAATAATTGCATTAAAAGATTACAAAATTAATTGCAAAGACCAATTTTACAGTAAAAATGATCAATCAATAAAAATAATCAATCAAAAAAAAAATTCCTTGAACAACTTTGTGATTTTAAAACCCGTGGTTCAGATGTGTATAAGAGACAGCATACATACATATATGCAACATATACAGATATAATTATACATACATCAATAATACACGTTAATGTTCCACCTATATATTAACTGCTATAATAGTTTTCAGATTATAATCCAAGTATCCATGCATTAACATTTAATGGTATTCATTATAATCTATTTATAAATATCCATAGGCATTACATTACTTTCACTTATAACAATTATTCAAATACTCACAATGTTCAGCTGCGAGCCTTGTCAGAGTTTCTATGCTAACTCGCCCCATTCCGTCGGTTTATAACTGAACAAAAACCACTTTATCACGGTTCTACCAATTGTGTAAATTCACAAAGGCCTAAGCTTATGCAGTTTCGTGCGTCCAATGCACACTGTGGGTTGACTCAATCGTATGGTGGTAAATTTGAGAGTACTTCGAATTCTCGCGCTAGTCTTTTTATATGACTGGCTGGCAACAGATTTACGCATATGCAAATTTAGCAACAATACAACAATTTTTTGTCATGGACTAAGAGCTATTAATCACTAAGTAGCATACTATTATTATTATTATTATTATTATTATTATTATTATTATTATTATTATTATTATTATTTAATAGTAGCATACTATTTAAATATTAAGGCAATACGCATCTGGTAGGATAAAATATAAAGTTCTAATGTGCAATTAGTTCCAAGGACTTTACTATGCAACCATGCAATCTGCAATATTACTCAAAAATAGAATCACAACTTTTGGGACCTTGATTTCCATTGTCCTTAGCAGCTTTGGTCTCTAAAATAAGATAAAAGACATTTGTGAATTTGGGAATACAGAAAAGTGGTCCTAAATTGGAGTAGTATCTAATTGGAGAGGTTTTTAATTGGAGGGAGACCTGTATTTCAGATTTTATTTAAAATTAAAAATGTTCTATTCAGACATTCTCGACTGTCATGAAAACTTGGTGGGGTGCGTACAAGGCCTGGAAAACTATATTTTACTTCCCATATAATGCAGTATTACACGGTTATTAATTAGATATTTTCTTTGTTTTCCAATATTATTTTTCAATTCTTTTTCCATTGTAAACGCTGCTTGATTTGAAATTCACATACCATTCCTGTCGTTGCTTTTCTTGCTATACCGTATTCATTTGCAATCTATCAGTGCTCGGTGGTCATTTTTTTACTTTCTAAAAGATGTATGCATTTCCAGGTTTTTGAGGGAGTGGGTTCTAAGTTCTAAGCCTACAATTAGGCTACCAACTTCAATAAAGACCTGTTTTCTTCATAGTTTTTTTAACTTCCTTTGTGACAGGGGCGGATCCAGAAATGTCCAAAAGGGGGGGGGGGCCGAAAGGGGAGCTGAAAGTTGGGCCGATCGAGACAACACTGTCCTATGGGGGTCCGGGGGCATGGCCCCGCGAAATTTTTGTGTTCTAGACGCCTGCTGAATGTAGGTAAAATGGCCCCGGTCAAAATGGCCCAGGAAAAAATGGCTCCGGTCAAAATGACCCCAAGTAAAAATGGCCTCAAATGACAAGTAGGTAAAAATGCCCACAATGAAAAAAAAATTATTAATAGAAATGATATTTTTGTTTAAATCTATAAATATTTAAATACTGTAATCAAGAATTGAATCAATAAATAAAAAATGGCCCTCAATTATAAAATTCAAAAAAAAAAAATTAAAAAAAGAATTAAATGCTGTAAAATACCTTGTAACAAAAATTGAATTAATAAATCAACATAAACCATATGCATATTTGAGAACTAAAATAACTTAGTTTTTAGCTCCTATGAGTAGGTCTAGGAGTACCCTGCTGATTGATTAATTAATAGATCTTTTTTGTATGGGCAGCTGTTAGGTCTAAGTATTTTTTTTAAATTATTATTGTTAAATATTATTACTATATTAGCGACCAATTATTTATATTATTATTATTGGCTCTGATGATGGGAAAGCCCTAAAACATTGATTCGGCACCAGTTTTGAACGACGAACTTGCAGGAAATGATATAGACAATTTTCGTGAAATTTGAAATAAAAATTTCCGATAACCTGCCAACTACCACTATGGGACTTTCAAAAGTGTTATTCATGGCTTTTTTTATCTTTGAATATTGTATCATTAAATATGTAATTCCTGCGAAAATGAAATCTAAATGGCAAGTTACCGTATTTGATTTTAGATTCCTTAAAAAAACTAAATTATTTAAGTTTTAAAAAATGCATAATGATTTTTTTATTTTTGTTTAAATCAGTTTTAATACAGAATTTTATTATTGGGGCCATTTTTACCTACCTGCTATTTGGGGCCATTTTTACCGGGGAAATTTTTACAGGGGCCATTTTACCGGGGCCATTTTTTCCTTGGCCATTTTTGCAGGGGCCATTCTTACCGTACACCACCACCGCCGCCGCCGCCACCGCCGCCACTACCACTACCACTACTACTACTACTACTACTACTACTACTACTACTACTACTACTACTAGGCCTACTGCACTAATACTGCACTACTACCAACCCTACACTACTATTCTCACTGATGTAGGACCGTTTTGACCGAGAGCAAGTTTGGCAATTCGATTAATTGACTATTAAGCAATATAATACTGACAAAATAATACAATATATATGTGTATTTGCGTTAAAAGTAATAAAAGGACAGTGTGAACAACTAATATACCTAACACTACTTCTGTAAAAAAAAAAAATCTTTAATTGTTTACCAAACATGCTGTATATATCGTAGGATAAGACCATAGTAGAGTGCTCCACTCTTAAAGACTTGTAGAAAATAGTCAACTCGGCGAAATTCATTCTGAAAAATAGCAAGCAAGATTTTTTTTAAAGCAAAATAATTTATACGCATATATACCAGTATAAATAGTAGATCAAATTCAAGAACACTTAAACCGAGATAACAAGCGACCAATCATCTTGTGGATATTGAGACTAGTGAGAGTATACAAATAATGTTCTGTCATGCCCAACATATTTTTAACCAACGTAAAATCAAATACAAATAAAGTTGATGAACCTGAGGTGACCCTAAATAAGTACTAAATTGAATTGGCAGTTGTAACTAAAACGAGGCTAAATGGAGAAACTAATAGCATTGTAAATATTCCTGGATATTCCTGGAATTTCAGGGTCATTTAAAGTGCTAAGGTCCCTATCTCTAAAAAAATATTATCAAGTAATCTAAATGACACTTTCCAGAATAGTTTTGATGAAGGAATGTTTCAATTTTGGTGACGATCGGAAGTAGGGTATGGATATAACGACCATTGAAAGAATATGCTTACCGTATACCGTAGGCAGATGCAATAGCTGTATGATGAATATTCAAATATGTGCAATTATTGTAATTGTGTACAGCGTTTAATATACAGTAACTTAAATTTTTTTTGGGAACTGATTTTTAATACATCTTTATAGGCCTATTTAAACATGTGACGCGTAAGAACCTTCTTATTAATTTGACTATTTGCATAATATTTCCATTTCAACACCAATAACTGGCATGTATTTTTTGTCAACTATAAGAATAAAACGTTCCAGTGTGTTTAACCAGAAGAAGTAAGGAATGGTCAGGTATACTAATGCAATAAAAGGTGTTTACGTTTGGCCATGTTAGTGTTTAGTGTTAATAAGTGGTGGTTGGAAAGTAATTAAGTGGGTTTTCACATTTTATATAGTGTCAGTATTTGAAAATAAAATATTTCAATACTAGATATTGCTTGGATTCTCTGTTTAAAACGTAACTTGTGCAATGAAAAAAAGGCTGATAGTGAATTTTGGTGAAACTGTTTGGATTACAAAATCCAAAAATACCTGCTCTAAAAAAGAGTCCAAAAAACCCTATTTGAAATAAAAAGTGTTTGGGCGAGTTACTGTGTGTTTTTGAAGAGAAGCGGAGTAAATTTGGAGCACATTTTTAGAGATTTATTTTATAGAAAGGGATTTGCAGTGGGCGGAGATGTGCTCCCTGCCGAATGCTCTTGCTATTATTATATAATTAATTATTGTATATGTTGTAAAAACTCATCAATTTATATGTTAATTGTATGATTGTTTTGTGTGCAGTTTTAGGGTTCTTTTTTTCTTGAAATCAATTCATTTTGTGAGATTTGTATATTAAGTTATATGAGCAGGTTATGGCGGTTTATGCTTAAAGGTATTTTGTAAATTGACACAATTCAGTGTTTCATACTGCTTCCAAATCGGTTTATGAATAAGAGAGGGCGCTAGACTACGATGCTGTAAGACGTGCATATCTTGTAGCTCCTGAAAATTTTACATATTTTTACACAAACCATCAATTGAATTAGTGCCCCGATCGAAAAAAAAAATACGTCACTGCCGTATACACATTTTGTATATTCAAAGGATTTTCAAATAATGCGGGACAATATCAGGGTGAACCCACTTAACGCGTAAATTCCAATAATGTGGACCCATTTTCTTAATAGTTCACCAATTTTATGCAAAAATATGAAAAATCTGAACCCATTATCTTAAGATTTTACTTAATGTAGTCTAAATACGAAATGATATTACAAAAACAATACACAAAGATGCAATGTGCAGAAAATAATTCTAACAATATATGGGAAATGATAGAATGTAACATCCGGTGAACAACAATCAATTTGCTAGTAAACAAAATAAAATGAAAAATAATTGCATTAAAAGATTACAAAATTAATTGCAAAGACCAATTTTACAGTAAAAATGATCAATCAATAAAAATAATCAATCAAAAAAAAAATTCCTTGAACAACTTTGTGATTTTAAAACCCGTGGTTCTATGATTAGATCAAGAGCTCAGTTGGTGGAGGAAGGTAAAAAGAATACGAAAAATAATTCCTTAATTTAGAACCTGGAAATTATAATTTTTTTAAAAAACATTTCAAAACTTAATACTGAGGATGGTGAAATAACGGACCCAAAACTAATATCAAATAAAGAAAAACACTGTATAAATCAGAAAAATATAATAATTTACCATAAAATAAAGAAAATGAAAACTGTTTTGGAAATATATTAGCCAAACCATGATAAATTCTTTGGAATACTCTTTTCAAGCTGGAAGTCTCTGTATTTTACAAAGGCGTGGAGTAATATCATTGATTAGAAAAAAGACAAGTCTCCGGTAATGTTGAAAAACTGGCGTCCTATTTCATTATTAAACGTTGTTTACAAGATCCTTTCTAAAGCCATTGCGACTAAAACAGTACTACCATCCGTTAATAAGGCTGATCAAACAAGAATCGTTAAGGGACGATATTATTGGTAAGAATATAAAATTGCTATTTGACATTACTGAGCATGCACAAGAAAATAACCTTCCTAATTTGTGTTCTTCGTTGAGTTTGAAAAAGTATTCGATAAAATAAGATAGGATTTTGTTTACTATGCACTAGACAAATTTGGATTCAAAAATAAATTTATAAATTTAATAAAAATTACTTTATAAGGATATTTATAGTTGTGTTATAAATAACGGTTTTTCTTCGGAATTTTTTAGCCTTAGTCGTAGTTTACGCCATTGAAGGATTCCCTATTTCGCCGTACTTATATACAGTACTCTGTGCAGAGTTCCTTGGTAACGCAGTTCGCCAAGCAGACAAAGTAGAATGTATATATAAATATTAAGTTAGGTCAATTTGTAGACGACATAGTTTTTTTTATATCAAAGATTTTAACTCAATAAAACCCATCATGGATATTTAAGGTTTATTTGCTTTTATCCTCCGGACTTAAATAATAAATTACGGAAAAAGTAAGATAATGAAACTGGGTTCCTTGAGGGATTCTGATTTTAAAATCCCCACCAAAAAACAAAAATGATATGGACTAATTCCATATTTTGGCCTTAATCTTTCAAGTAATTCAGTTAATATAGTTTGTTTGTAAAATTTAAATAATATGGTATAGCTTGTTAAATTTCCAACAAAAATATGAAGACATCTAAAGAATATTAAAGGAGGCAGAGATCTCTAAGTTCATTTAGAAAAATGTCAATCATAAAAACATTGGTTCTGCCAATCTTAATATGTCATTTTTCAAATTTACCCAACCCACTGAATTCCTTCTTCAATGATATACAAAGTAAAATGTTCAATTTTGTATAGAACGCGAAACCCGATAATAAAAAAGAAAAAATATGTTCAATGAATTAGAAGCCGGAGGGTTCAAAATGTCGCATCTCCAAAGTTATTGTCATGCTTTAAAGCATGTTGGGTAAAAAGATATCTTGGAAAGAACGAAGGCAAATGGTAATTATTTTTTCAAAACGACCTATTATTATTATTATTATTATATAATGAACACTCTTTGTATGAAAATGTCACAACAGAGATCAGCTATTAACATCTTTAAGCTTGATCAAGGGCCCAATAGCCGAATATTTTAATTCAGCTGCTCAATCAATTGCAAATTTTAGAGTTATTGCGATAGGCCATAATGCCTATTGATCGACAATTATTCTACTATACTTTTGAAACCAGAAGAAATTCTTGCGAAAAAGTCGTAAGGATAGAGAAAATCACTTTGAACATTTGCTTAATACTACCTCACATTTTAGAAACGTTCTCCCAGTACTTGCCTCATTCTGTTAATTTTTAATTAATTATAATTTGTGCACATACTGTGAAAATAGCAATCAATAGTGCCTATTCGCTTACCTTATTCTATCAATTGACATATTAAGGGACTGACTTATTGAGCCAGCCAAGACCTCGGCAGGAAAATAGGCAGAACTACTACTTGAAACGAATGCCTCTTCATTACATGGTGGAGAACAAACACAACTTTCTGTAAGAAGAAACACAAAATAGTAACATTTAATTAAAATGAAACCATATGATATTATATATATTTTTCTTTCGTGGGTGCATCCCACCTTTATTTCAATCATAGCAGAATAATTTTTTTGCACAATTTGTTGTCAAAGAATTACATCACATAATTATAATATATGTCTACACATACAAACATACATCATACACAAATCAAATGTATATAAAAAGTACGGTAATCTATGTACATTTCAACTGTTAAATATATAAAGATACTTCAAATAGATAACAAAATATGATAAGGTAAATGAATGAATCAGTGTGAATCAGTAGAGAGGCTATAAACTCAGAGGAGGCATAGAAGCCTCCCTTTTCACCAAGACATGTTATTTGGAAATGATAATTGTAGAATAATGAAACAGATTGAAACAGAGTTAGGACAATAGAACATAGTGATTAAAAAACATGGAAAACCGTAAGGTGGGGGTGTACACACGGTGCAAGTCCAAGACTCTCTGTTTATCTTGGCTCTGTGTGTATGTGAGACGCACCGTAGCCACATTTTTCTCAAAATAATTAGCATCTAAAGATAATAGAATATTGTTATTACATTTCTTTAATTACCACCACTTTTGTTCAATAAAAATAAACCAAGTTGTCACAAAATCATTTAAACATTATACAAACAAACCTTTGTCATGGGTACAGTGCTTAAATACCAATGGTATATTTTAACTTACGAAGATCGATTTTTGCTTCTTTTTTTTTTTGCTTTATCATTATTTAATAAAAAATTAAATTTTATCAAGTTCTTCAACTCGGAAACAAACATTATCCATGGACAGCTTTTTCCGAGTCCAAGTCTATGATTGAATTTACTTTTGAAAATGCAAAATGTGAATATTGATATTACTTCATTGGTTATCTCATTGTACATACCAAGTACAATTTTACTCCACAGTACTAAATTAGGTGGAGTAGAAAAACATGTTTCTAACAAAAAATAAAATTTTACCCAATATATTTCTATATTTTTGCATTCAAATAACATGTGTTCTTCATTTTCAGGTAATTTGCAGTAATCGCATAAAATTGTAGCGGATAGATTCCACAATTTTAATCTGTTATTAGTTGGAAGTATCATGTGAATAAATTTAAAATTAAAAATGTCCAATCTATTTTAAGTGCATCATAGAATTCACCTTATTCTTACAACATGAATCCCAATCTATGACACTCATCTGTAGATTATTTTCCCATTTGCTTTGCACTTTATGTAGTTTAAACGTTAAATAGAAGTCTTTTTTACAGTTTCATCCTGATTTACAGACGGTAATTTAATGCCTTTACATAAATCATTGTTTCTTATATTTGTCGACATTACCTCAACAACTAAAATAAATAATAATGCAGAAAGAGGACATCCTTGCCGTATACCACCGTTCATTAAAAAACTTTCAGATAATTATCCATCCGTTGTTTATTATGAAACTCTCTGTATTGGTATACATTATTTCAACCCAATGTAAAAATTGGTTCCCAAAACCAAAACTTTTTAGACATTTGAACATGAAATTTCTGTCTACTGAGTCAAACGCCTTTTTAAAATCTGTAAATATTAAGGCTCCTTCTTCATTATATTTATCAGTGTAGTCAAGTAGGTCTTCAATTAATCGAATACTTTCTCCAGAAAATCTACCCTTTATATAACAAGCTGTGGAAGACTGTTCCAGAGAGATGGAGCTGATATTGAAAATGCACTGTCACCATAGGTGCTAGTACATGTTCGTGGTTTATGTAATAGATGATGTGATGATGATCGGAGGGTCCTAGTCCTAGTCCTGGACGGCTGAGGGTAGGGGTTGCCGAATTACAGGCCTATTGTAGCCTTATGTACGCATATCATACATTTCAGACATTTACTGCCACAAAAATATCCGCTTATCTCGTGTCTGGAAGTTGCCCGCTTGCGGTTCGAACAACCTTATTTGCATATCAATGAAACACAAGACATCGTAACTAGATAACAATAGAATCCGGTCGCGTTTCCAATCTCCTTGTATAGTTGTCTCAGGTATTACTTAATTTTACCAGTTTTATGAAGGGCGGTAGACACACACCAAAAGTCCAACCTTCTGTATGTGTTCTTTCTTCTCCATGTAAATTGCGTTGTGTTTTTATGGCAGTGTCGCCATATATCGATAAGTTTATGTTTACGCATGCATGACATTAATGTTTGTGATGATTGCCATATTAAAGGTCAATGCTGTTTTTTTTTATTTTTTGTTCGTTGTAATATACAGTTCATGTCTCCACCCATTAATATAAATCTGTCTTCATCGTTACAGAGAGTGTCATTTTCTTTTCAAGATTCTTGAAAAATAGTGACCTTTCTTTGTAATTATTTGGAGCATAAACATTTATCAAGTTGAATATATGTTTCTTATTTTCCACACTTATAATTATGACTCTGCCTTCTCCATCAATATATATATATATATATACATTTTATGCCTGTTACATCTATATCTGGCTTAAATAGTATGGAAATCCATCTTCTATTTCCAAAAATTATCATAAATATATGCAGATATTTTTTATCATAGTGAGTTTCTTGTAAGAATATAATGTATGCTTTTTGTTCATCTATCCACTTAAAAACCTTCTTTCTTTTGTAATTATCTCTAAGCCCTCTGATATTTAGAGATATTAGATGCATTGAGTTAATATTTTGTTTTCTTTTAATTTATATATATATATATATATATATATTTTCCCTCTTTTTTATGTATTTTTTAATAATTTTTTTATATAGAATCTGTATATTTAAACAAGGTTGTTGTCGGTTTGAAAATACTATTTAACTTACGGAATCAGATTTATTTTCCTATTTTATCCACTATTTGTGAGTTTATTTCTTTTACTAGCTGCAAAGTTTTGTCTGGCAACTTGCGCGGTTTCATCACTTGCTGGATGTGGTTTGCCCGTGGTAGTGAAGTCCGTTATCGGCCTCAAACCTTTGCTAGTTTGTGATGTTCTGTCTTGAGGGTTTTTTTTTCTTGCAGTACATTTTCTGATTTCTTCTTTTCACGTTGTTCCAACTTTTTTTTTCTTGCTTGCTTAGTTGGAAAGTTTGAATGCTTATTGTCTTGACCTGGGCAATTGCATCCTTCATGATACGCTGTACCTTTTCGTCTAGTTGAATTGATTCCCTGGGTTGTTTAAGAGATCCTCAAGGACTCCAATCACATTTCGTGCGTTCAAAGCTTTGTCATCGTTCGTTTTGCAACTACTATTTGTTTCGAGTTCATCTTCAATGAGTAAAACAATCTTGCTGTGAAGTTATTTATTTTGTGAAATCGTGGCAGACTTTCTTTGAAAGGTTCCACAAAGATGAATCGGTCACCATTTAAGAAACGTGATAACTTTCCGTTGATTCTAAATTTAGCGTACTGCACGTTTCCTAAGATGGTGCACCCTAACTTCTTCAATGCATCAGTTATTTCTTCATTTCTTACCGAAAGTGGTATATCCTTTACTAGGATTCGTGTTGCATTTTCTCCTCCTATCAGGTAGGGGTTAACATTATGTACGTTAATATGCTTCCCTTTTATATTCAACCCTGATGTTATTTACATTTACACGTTCTGCATGATTGTCAATGTAAATACGCCATAAGTTCTTAACCTTCTGTGTGCCTATAAGGTGATCACAGTTTATAACGCATTTTAAAGCAAAGAATATATCCTCTTCCTTTAAAAAAAAATCATCCTTGTTTCTGATATCATTGTCTTTAACAAATCTCGACAACAAAGATAGAACAACTGTGTCTATTCGAGCGTGAATACTTCGCTAGACTACAAAGCCTGTTGTCAAGGTAAACAATAGGGTTACGCCGATCGTGTTTATGGGTACCAAATTGGGCGGTTATAAGTTCAGAGTTATACAGCGGCCTACCTTGAAAATTGTCTAAACATACATACTACGTTGTCGAAATTGCAAGTATGCTGGTTGATTATGTATTTTGAATTGTTCTAAAAGAAGATCTTATCTCACGATTGTTGAAATTAAGTCAGGATACTAAAAATATGGAATTTTATTGCTGGTCGTTTACGTGTACTTGTAAACCGGAAAACGCCACCAATTTTCGAATCAATTATTAATAAACTTTAATTTTAAAAAGTTTGAAAAATTTGAGAAACGTGTTTAGTTACTTAAGCCGGGCACTTAACGACGCGCGCGCAATCGACATTCAGCAGACGGCGTCGCGTCGTTTAACGCTCAAAGAGAACGGAGACGGATTTGTCGACCAACCGTCGTACGAAGCAGTGAGTGCCAAGCTAGAACTCTAAGATAGAAAACCACACGTCATTTTTCCCCGGTTATTGTTAACGGCTATGCATTAGATATCTTTGATGCTTCAGTGAAAAATGTTATCTTCTGCTTGTTTTTTCTATGCAATTGTTCGTGTATTTTACTGGAGTACTATATTTAAAAAGCTTTCTCATGTTTGAAGGTTGCCATGTTATGCTATGGTGCTTTAATCCCAAGACATTCCTTATGCACTTAAAGAGGATTAGAATTATATTTTTATTTATAGTGCCATCTAAATAGACACTATGGGTAGGAGAGTAACCGAAATTATACCAGGAAAAGGTAAAAGAAATCGAGGATTCCAGTAGCAGTAGTAGTAGTGGTTTCCTCTATTTCTTGCAACTTTTCCAGAAGACATGGATTGTATATTTTATTTTTGGTTTATTGCCCTGAATAAAGTTAATTGTATTGTATTGTAGTACGGTAGATAGCGCCACCTGTGATGTTGTTATCACGCTAACTTTGAGTAACGATGGGATATCACTCTGTTGATTAGTACCTATGGAAAGAGTAGCTGGTTTCGATAAGTACTTTGGTATTCAATGATTGATATAAAGATACTATGTTGGTATGTATTTTTACGTCTTCTACTTCAGCTAGTCAACAAAGTCGTAGATAGCCAACACATTGATGAAACAGAACAAAAATGACATGGCGATTTTTCCTATTATTTACACGGATAATATCGCGTTGTGGCACTCATAATTCAACACAAAGGCCCTTTAGCCAATCAATAATAATATTGATCAAAGTAATTAGATGTGAAAGAAATTGAAATCAAAATTACCCTAGTAGAGTCAATGGTTAAACAGCACAGCATAGATGACTTATTTTTTTAGTTTAAATAACTTTTACTCCTTCGACAGCATTCTCTGAGAAAAGCAGGGATTACCAGTTCTGGTTTTGCCCCTGTGGACATTATTTAAATTGCTGGATTGAATTCGTCAGAATGCTTTGTAATAATTAACAATAATTACTGTTTACTGCAGTGTTTCCTTCTGAATAAATAGATGTTTCTAAGGACAGATGTATATCGGATTTGAAAACAAAATGACTATGAAACGACTGAGACTGGAACCATAATGTTAGCAACTTTTTCAACACATGTGAACCACCGTACCTAAATGTTCATGAACAATTCACGAAATAAATTAGTTTTTAGAATGCATCGTTTTATTAACTGTACTGATAATTTAACATATCGATAATGTATTTTTAAACTGTTCTTCAGTGTTGCTTGCACATAATACTTATGTCTGTCAATAACAAATCGTTATGATCAACAATCTTACCAGCTGATTCTCGAATACATCTGTTAGCAGTTTCAATTGAACATGGCTCCTTAGCACCTTTAATAAAACAAACAAAATTGTAAAATACGTTTTAATGCACTGCGGAGAATCAGTGGAGATAATTCATCCACACACAAACTACAACACACACTAAAAGCAAGTTTACAACAAATCATGTAGGGTAGTAGAATAAATCTTAGACATACTATAGCTAACGAGCTCTTTCCAATGATAAACCGTTGCTTTGTAATAGCTCCTATAGCTATTTTTGAAAGTAATCTAAAACCATACAACAACAATAGAATGGTCAAACATTTTGGTTTCATGCCTTTCCGCAGGACGCAGGGCGCAAATAAAACTAACGTCATCAATTTATCATCAGTGTTTAACCCCAAAAACATCAAATCATTATAAAATACGACCTTTACCTTTGGAGTAATATAGGCTACATCCGCACATCAATTCTGTGTAGATAGCCCGACATGTAGCACGACAGCTTTGAGTAGTATAGTTGTCGACTGTATCGTTTGGACAGTACCCTGCGAGACGCGAAAACTAACGAAAGAAGAAAAATATAAAATTTCTTTTAAAATATATTCTTACTGACTCTTTATAAACTAGATGTAATAATAATATATAACAATAATAATAATAATTATAATATTAAAGATAACAATAATATTATTAACAATGCTAGGCTTTAATTTCAGAAAACATATTTTAAAAATGTGACGGTAAGCACAAAATTATATGCCTTTATAAAAAATGTTTTATACTCCAACATTACTATTGAAAATATTAATAATTGTTGTTAACCTACCGATTGTTTATTGACACTAACACGGGTCATAAATCCGGGGGAAATAAAAAATGATCTCTCCATCATTTCATCTGGAATTTCATTCGGACTATGCAACAATACCTTTAAAAAAAATGGGAAATGACTTAATTGTGTATAGGGCTGTTACATTATTATGTATAGATATTGCGTAAGAAATGGTAATCCAATTCAGCTTTAATGAAACGTAGGGATAACTTCTCATACTTCCTAAGCAAACAAATAGGCAGGTCTTCCGAACTAAATTCCTTGATGATAGAACAAGGATCCTAAGCAAACAAATAGGCAGAACCAAACGGACGCAAATTGATTTTGATTCTATCAACAAAGACTTTAGTTCGGAAGACCTGCCTATTTGTTTGCTTTGGAAGTATGAGAAGTTATCCGTACGTTTCAATAAAGCTGAATTGGATTATCATTTGTTATTCAATTGCAAAACGTTCGGCGTTTTCCCAAAATTCATGTATAAATATATTACGAATTTATTATTATTATTATTATCATCATCATTATCATCATCATCATTGTCGTCAAGATACCTTGTGCAGTGATTAATACAAATTTCAATATTTAGTGATTCATTTATTATTATCAATATTATTATTATTATAAGTATTATTATTATTATTACCATTAATATTATTATTAGCATAATCATTATAATTATAGTTATTACTATAATTAATATCATTATTATTATCATCATCATCATAATTATTATTTTATAATCGTCATCGCCAATCATCATTATCATCATCACTCATTATCGTTAATTATCATTATTCGTAAGCTATATTTATACTAAAGCATGAACACCCGGAACAATCATTTTTTGATCTTTCGTTGTCACTGGGCTATTAGGCATATTTTCAAAATTATCTTCAATCAAGAATATGTATAACCTATATATCGTTGTCTTTTTTTTCTATTACCCTGAACCCTGCAGCATAGTTTCTGACCGGTACGTATTTTTCCTGTTCGACATTAAGCCTTAGCCACAGCCCATTCTCGCTTCCACTGCCGCCAACTCGAAGACCACTAGAATTCAAGGCAGAATTAAATGTGAAACAGACTCCAGCGTTTGTCATCACCTCCGTAAAGTTCTCATATGAACAAGGGTATTCTGAAAGCCAGAGACAGTCGTTGACCATATTTTTGATATCGTGCGACACTTTTCGAATCTCTGCGTATAAATTTATATCTTCCAAGTTCGTGTTCATGGGCACATCAGTTTTGCTCAATTTTTCACCAATAAAAATGTCGCTGAACAGAATATCTTTCACTGGCGAGTCATTCATTTTATCGCTCGATATCATGTTGATATTGCAAATAGTGACGGCAGGAAATTCCAGATTGTACTCTTCCTTTTGTGTAATAATGGTGGAGGTTTCACCGCTTGCAAAGCGAATGACCAGTTTCACGAAAGATATGATGACACAGGACATAAGCAACAAAATTACAAAACCCCATATCAACCTGCAAAAAAATAAAATCAAGTCACTAGAGTTCTTTAGTAACCAAGAGGCATGAGGTCCCGTGGCTAAGGCTTATTGGAGTCATACTGGTCTGTAGTACAGTACAGAATGCTAGTCCGTTCCTCTGTTTTCGACGCTTAATTGCCTGGTTTATTGGGTTATTGGGGCCCATATGGTCCCTGCAAAAGTGCCAATTAATATCCCGGGGCCCCGGACCTAGCTTTAGCCAGTGAGAGCTCATCGGGTTTACCTCACTGTCAGTATTTTTTAACGATACGATATCAAATTTTCGTAACAAACCTGTCTTGCAGGATAGACTCGGGTGATAACTTTAGATTACAACAATATAATATACTGTAATATAATATGATACAGCACAAGAAAAATAATTTAATGGACAAATTTAATCATGAATGTGCTTGTATAAGGACTAATTGAAGGAGTCTGACTCTACCTATTAATTTCAATTTCTTTATAAATTTGGTAGGCCTTTGTGGGGTTTTTTGTGAAAAATTTTAATAAACAAACTTTTGCGATGAGAATAAAATTATTTTTTTAATTGTATAATGCATTAGTGTAGCAAAATATCACAACTATTGATCGTGCAAAAAAAAAAAAAGAAAAAAAACCTCCGTGGTTTATGGCATTCAACGTGAACATATTTATGCCTATGGTAAGATAAATTTTTTTCTTTTCTTTCTTTAGGCACACAACACATGTGTCAAGGATTGCCAATAGCGAATATATATCACTGTCCTACTTGTAGGTGACAATCCCTTACACAAGACAAACATACACACACGATGCTTTACACAAACTAAATCTCAATATGAGATTTAGGGAGTGGATAATCATTAAGATAATCAATATAACCACCTAATTTATAATGTACACCAAAACTTTTGGCATAGATCATTGTATAGTTATAACTAGACGATGTGAATCATCACACAATATACAGATTGTTAGGTGGATGATGGGATATACGCTGCTGGTCGATATTGTGCGAGAAATCCAATAAGTGGTCATTAAACTATAATAATAATAGTCTTGTGTCATGGTGATGATCAAAATCAATATCATCAATAAATTCGATCAAGTGTTTAATCATTTGATTAGAACAAACATTTGATTATACATCGGCTCGTGGTAGGGTTTACCGAGTGAAATTGAATTCCAGTACAGTGATTAACTAATGTTTTTTCAATGCAATAACGACCAAAATTATATTCACTTCATTCATTAAATACGATGCATACTTTTAAGTCAAGATTAATATCAATGCAAAGTATGGGAGTTATTCATTTTATTTTAGGAACCAAATTAGCGAGAAAAGTTTCTAATTCTCGTTACAAAAAAGTTTTTTACATGTATAATTTAGGCCTATATCATGTATCTAAACAAAAATCGTGTAAATCTAGTAGACATAAATTCACGAAATTTGTAGCAATTATGGTTGTTTTTTTCTAGTTGGATAAAAATAGATTCATAAACATGAAATTGTTTAACTATTCTATACCGACTTTCTTGTTTATAAGTGAATGATATTTAAATTTATGTCTGAGAATGTCATTTTCGGCATTCTATAGAGGCTATAATCATAGTTTTCTCACCTCAGCCCCAAACATAGCACAT